GCTCATCTTGTCCCACCTTTCTTCCCAATACTTCTTCACACACGGTACGCATCTGCTCTTGCACCATCCTTCCTATGCTAGCCTTGAAATCATCCTTGTCCTTGACCTCCGCCAGTCGCTTYTCTTCCGCCTCTTTCTTTCTCCTCTCATCCTCCTCCTTCTTCTTAGCCTCTTCTTTCTCTTTCTTCAATCGCTGCCTCTCTTCAATCTCCTCAGCCATCCAGCTCCACATCTTGTCCACCTTATCGTTCTTTTCATTCGACTGTGAATACCAAGGTCGCCGGTAATTTCCATAGCCCCCACAGCCTCCTCCATAGCCACCGTTGTAACCACCACCACTACTCGAAGCTTGATCGATTCTCACATCATTGGAGGGTGCTTGGTACGGGACGATGGCTCCCTGCGTYGATGGTATCGGGSCAGACCCAGAGGTGGAGGCTTGAYTACCGCCGGCTTGCCTGGCCTGTTGGTCCATATCTCTCATACGTGTTCGACAATCTCGGATAAAGTGACCAGGACGTCGACAATAATGACACACGGGACGCTCCATCAGAGTACGGAGAATGACAGATCAAGAAGCGGGAAGCAACCTACGAAGTAGACTACTATTAAAGATCAAGAGTTAGAATCGAGAATAAAACAGTGGTAGAAACAGTGGAAACAGTGGAAACAGTGAAAATAGTGGAAACAGTAGTAGATCACACTCACACATCCGTAGTACGATTGCTACGTTGGTTTTTGCGTGGACTAATGTCGTGAACATCAGTCATGCATCCAAACACACGTGTTTAAAATTTCAGAGAAGCATCATGCACAAAGCAAACTGCTCAAGACGAAGACGAAGAAAAAACGAGCGCAGGTAATTTCGAAAAGATAAAACATTAAGCACAKCGATGTCAGGCGAATGACCCAACACCGTGTTTCTGCCGGTCGCCTGTCCGGCTTCATCAGGGGTCTTACTACCTCGCGCAGGATGAAAAATACTAGCGTAACTAAGCTACTTATATGAAACCATCCGAAACACACAGGTACCAGGAAAGGCCTAAAGCCTTTACTAAGAGGAAAATCATCGATAAGTACCGTCTAAAAGGCCAAACCTGAACTAAGACTAATCTATCCTAGTTGATACCGAAAAAACAGATGCCATCTRGAGGGCCCTACGTTTGATAGACGGTTCAGCGTTCGAGCCCAGCTTGGTTCATTAACAGGTACAAAAAGACATCACCCAACTATCAAGAAAATAAAGTTGCCGGTTCGACGACCTCCCAGTACAAGTGCCCGTTACATTCTACCGCCTCAACTACGGGAATAGGGGAACTCTTCATAGGATCGGAGCGACTCTTCGGACGTCACGTAGTGTGGAAAAAAAAAAAAAGAAAGAATGAATTGTATCTTAGGCGGATTTTTTAATGCATTTCTGAATTTGAAATGAATTAAAAAAAAAAACAGTTTCAGCCGTCACACCATGGAGCCAGGAGGGAGATCCCACTACCCATGGATTTGGATTAGTGTGACGGGTGTGGGACAGGTGGGGGACAGGTGGGTGGCAGCGTGAAATAGGGAAAATAAATGCAAAAAAACATTTGAAGGAATTAAATCAAAAAAAGAAAAGAAAGTGCTCTTCTCACAGATGGTGTCTGCTCCAGCCGGGGTGTCAGATGTCAGGGCATAATTCACTGACCATGGCTTGGCAGTTGAAACAACTGCATGTGAGCCGGCACGTGGACCATATTCATTGACAATACTCTGAGGCTTATTTGAAATGGGCCACATTGCACATTACTGGGTTGTTCTGACATAACTTCTCTTTGACAAAGGAGGGCAAGAGTAACTGCATACAGCACTTGCTGTAGGTGAGAGGATCGAACCCTCCAAAACACCTCCCAAACCACAATCACTTCTGCCTGTCTTCCAAGCATGGCCAATGACACAAAGGTGAGCAGAAGGTGTGTGAAAATCATCACAAAAAAAATTGTTATGATTTCCACTCACGTTTGGCACCCCAAGAGGAACACTTGTTCAAAAAGAAAAGAAATACCACCCAATGGGAGGCCCCCAAAACACACATATGTCCYGGTGTGTAAATACAAATAAAAACACACCGCAGATATCCAGTCCGATCCACTGTGCTTCGGAGTCACACAACCTCTCCACTACTCCACATACATCGGTAGTGGGATCTCCCTCCAGGTCCACTAAACGGTGCATGTGGGACAAGTTCCCTGGGCTTAAAAAAAAAAAAAAAAAAAAAAAAAAGAACACCGCGGAGGGGCAAAGGTTTGGGGGTGGGGTGCTCAGAAGCAGCCCCCCCTTGTTCAGGGGGCTACCTTCTTCCCCCGAATACAACGTACGGTCATTATAGCCGTATTTGAGGCATCTTTCAGTCTAGATACAACTATAATGACTGTACGTTGTATTTAGGGGAAGAAGGTTGTGGCACAAGGGTTAGGTTGACTCTCCTCTTCTCTTCTTTTCTCCCCCACTGTCTTTGTTCAAACATGCTTGCCGGGGATAAGTAACCGGACTGCTGCCCCCCAGAATAGAAGGGGCCTGTGCGTTTTTAAACCACCACTACCTTTCCAAGCTGTGGTCCCATTTGGGAAAAGACCTCATCCGAAAAGTTCGGGGGTCTGCCGCAGGGCCCGTAGGAAAGAAAGAAAGAAAAAAAAGATTGGGACCCCGCTTGCACCCTGTGAGGAAAACAAAAAAAAAAGAAAAAAAAAGAAAAAAAAAGAAAAGACTAAGAGCTTTGAATCCCATGAGGTCAGGGAAGCCCCTCACGGAGGTGGAAGTCACACCGGTGCTTTGAGGAATGCATCTGGCCACTATGTGTGGAGCATACCTGATTGCTGATATTTTCAATTTGTATTTTTCATTTTTTGTTGTTTTCGTTTCCCTGCCAGCCAGGCATGGCGGATTCCATTCCACACGAGGCAGCTAACTGCCTAACTGCCTCACTCACCTCATACTCACTCACACTATCACAGTGTTCTGTATCGGACCCGGTCACAGCATAAGGGAAGTTTTCTTTTTTTCTTTGCTCTTCATTAGTTCTTTTCCTCGTGGAAGGAGGTCCTCAGGAGCACCGTTCCACTAGCAAAGGAGTAACTTAGGTAAACTGTGTCCCACAAACACCTGTGGGACATCTGTGGGACATCGTCCGACCACTGATGCAGGAGAATCGGATGGCCGCAAAATTGCGAGGGATTTATATTCTGAAGTGGTGTYTTTTTTTTTTTTTTTGTGCTTTTTCTTTCCAGTTCCCAAGAATGGGAGGCGGGGAAATAAAATATAAAGACTCATTTTGATTGGCAGCTCTTCAAAAGATTAAAAAAAATTAAGTACTCGAAGGGCATGGTTTTGACCCCCTTCTTTTTCCCGGTCAATTGTCACCCCATCCAGTACTTGATTTTTCTCTCAAAATATACGGACTGCACGCTTCAGCATGGCAACCGTCAGAGAAGGGAGTCCCATCAGGCACACAAAGGGACTCCCTCCCTCGCGGTGGTACGCGGTCACGTACCACTCGGTCCTGATTAGGCATTGGCTGGGTGGGGAGCAGGGGGAGGAGACGGGAGGAGGGTTCGGCAGCACTTTCAAAAGTCGGCCTGCTTCCCATCTTGGGAAATGTGACGTCGCCATTTTTTTTTTTTAAAGTCTGTAAAATTACTTTTCTTCCTTTTTTCTTACAGTGCCGCACAGGTCATAATAGGCCATGAATCGTGTGCTAGTGGAACTGTGCCCCAGGGGGGTTGGAAGTAACACCAGTTAAAAAAAAAAAAAAAAAAAAAAAGTAACACCACTGTTACACCAGTGCTTTGAGGTATGTATCTGGCCAGTATGTGTGGAACATACCTGATTGCTTACGTTTTTGTTTTTTTGTTTTTCTTGATTTCTTGTCCTTTTCGTGCCCTGCCAGTGAGCCAGGGCGGATTCCACGACGGGCACCAGCACTGTAGCGTCCTCTATCGGACCGCGATCACAGCATAAGGCAAGTTCATTTTTTTTGTTCTTTAATTTTTTGATGGGACAGACACCCTCACTGAGGGCACACAGTCTTTTTTTTTTTTTTTTTTTTTTTTTGTGAAACGGGGGGC